CTCAGTGGACATTTGGCAATGTCAAGAGACATTATTGATTGTTACAACTAGTGGGCAGCTACTGGCAACCAGTGGGTAGAATCTTCTGGCCTTACTCTGCTAAACATTCTACAGTGCACAAGACAGGTCTTCCCCCAAGCCCCGTCACCATCCCACCCCTGCTGACAACAAATAATTATCTGGTCTAAAATGTCAATAGAGCCAAGGTTGAGAAAACCTTTTCCTTGCTGATTTTCTCTCTACCTGTTCTATTGACTGCTGAGAGACAAGTATTGATGTCTCCAATTCTAATGGTAAATTTATCCATTCTTTCTTTCAATTTTATGTCTTTGCTTCATTTAAATTGAAGCTCTGCTATTAGGTACATACACATTTAGGATTTTTTTGTCTTATTGGTTAAATGCTCATTTTATTAATAAGTAATGGTCTTACTCCAGGTAAATTTTCTTATTCTGAAATATGCTTTATCTGACATTAATAAAGTCACTACATCCTTCCTTTAGTGTTTGCATGGTATGCCTTTTTACATTCTTTTAGTTCAACTCACTGTTGCTTATTTAAAGTATATTTTCTTTATAGACAACATACAATTGGGTCTTTCTATTTTGTAATCTATCCTGATAATTGTGTCTTTTAATTGGTGCATGTAGGTCACTTTCATTTAATGTAAGTATTGCTTTGTTTGGATTTCAGTCTATCATTTTAATAGTTGTTTTCTGTTTGCCCCTCTGTTCCCTTTTCCTGCCTTCTTTTGTATTATTTGAATTTTTAAACTCGGTTTTATTCGCATTTATATATTTAGTTTTTTACTATTTACTATATCTTTTTATATATTGCCTTAGTGATTGCTCTGAGGATTAAAATACACATACTTAACTTTACAGCCTACTTAGAATTAATCTTTCACCACTTCAAAAGCAGTGTAAAACCCTTACCACCATATAGGTCTCGCTAACTTCCCCATTATGTAGTAGTTGTCTTATGTATGACATCTACATACTTTGACAACTCCATCACACAGTGTTACTTTTCTTTCAATCACATACATACTTTAGGGGTATTTAGAAGAGAAAAATCCTCCACATTTACTCAGATATTTAGCATTTTCATTGCACTTCCTTTATCCTAAAAGTTCTGAGTTCCTCTCTAGTACAGTTTCCCTTTCACCTGAAGAACTTCCTTGGGCATTTCTTTTACAGCAGCTTAGTTAGTGGCAAAAACTTTTATTTATTTATTTATTTATTTATTTATTTATTTTTTTTTTTGAGGCCGAGTCTCGCTCTGTCGCCCAGGCTGGAGTGCAGTGGCTCGATCTCGGCTCACTGCAAGCTCCCCCGCCCCCGCCATTCTCCTGCCTCAGCCTCCCGAGTAGCTGGGACTACAGGCGCCGCCACCACGCCCGGCTAATTTTTTTGTATTTTTAGTAGAGACGGGGTTTCATTGTGTTAGCCAGGATGGCCTCGATCTCCTGACCTCGTGATCCGCCCGTCTCGGCCTCCCAAAGTGCTGGGATTACAGGCTTGAGCCACCGCGCCCGGCCAAAAAAACTTTTATTTTTCACTCATCTGATAATATCTTTATTTTGCCTTCATTTATAAAGCATACTGTCACAGTCTGGGTTGACAGTTCTTTTCTTTCAGCACTTTAAAAAAGATGTTTCCAGCACCTCTGGCCCCTGTGGTTTCTGATGAGAAACCTGCAGTCATTTCTATTGCTGTTCCCCTGTGGGTGATGTGTCATTGTTCTCTGACAGCGTTCATGTTTTTTCTTTAATTTGGAGCAGGTTGATTATGTGTCTGAGTGTGAATTTCTTTATCTTGTTTGGAGTTTGCTGAGCTTCCTTCCTGTGTTTGTAATTTCTATGTTTTTCATCACTGTTGGAAGTTTTCAGCCATTTTTCCTTCAAATGTTTTTCTGTACCACAACTGTTTTTCCACTCTTTCTGAGATACAGGTGTAAGTATAGGTATCAGCAGAGATAGAGATAGAGGCATGCGTCACTTCCTGATGTGAATACCTTCTGAGAAATGCATCCTTGGGTGATTTCATCATTGTGTGAACATCAAAGGGTGCAAACCTAGATGGTATAGCCTACTATAGACCTAGGTAGACTATGTGGTCTAGTCTATTGCTTCCAGGCTACAAACCTGTACAGCATGTTACTGTACTAAACACTATAGGCAATTGTAACACAACGGTAAGTATTTATGTATCTAAACCTGGAAGAGGTAAAGTAAAATTATAGTATCATAATCTTACGGGACAATTGTCATATATGCAATCTGTCATTGACCAAAACATCATTATGTAGCACATGGCTATATACACATATACACATACACACATACACACACACACACACATTTTTAAAGCAGGACTTTTTAGTTTTAAAAAGCACCTAGGTCTATAGTAGGCTATTCCCTTTAGGTTTGTGTAAATGTACTCTTTGATCACTCAATGAAGAAATCACCTCTGCCTTTAAACAGAGGCAGCTCAGGGCAAGTCCAGAGTTGCTATACAACTTTCGGAATCACTTTTCCTGAATTTCTTCCCCGTTGCAATCTGTCTGAACTCTGTGGCTCTCAGAAGCATCTCTTCTTCCCCCACTTCTTGGTCTTCTGGCTGGATTTTGTTTTCTAAATCTGTTGCACACTTCTTGCAACTGTTTCTGCCTCTAGGGCCAAGTGGCAGTAGGGTAGAGAAAACAAAGCAAGCTCCCCAGCTCTGAGGACCACAGTTTAGTCAAAGACAATGCTTCTCTTCTTCCAACTTCTAGGTGCCTGCCTGGATGACTCCAGGGACACAGGGTGGCCTGGGATGAGACAGGAGAGAAGCAAGCAAGCAAACAAACAAAAAACAGACCACAAAACAGATTTCCCTTACTGTCTCTGACCCTTAAAAATCCATTTCCTGTTCCTTGGACCAGAAAGAGAGGTTCTTGTTGGAAATCAGAAATCTTTCTGTCCTTATCTGGTGCAAAGTTTTATGTTCTGGGCTGCCCTTGAGTCCAAAACAAGAGAAATGGTTGAGGGGAGAAAAGGGAGTTCAGGAAACTTGCGGCCAGATTGGTCTTCCCTTTGAGTTATGGATTTTTTCTCCAATCTGCCTGATATCACTTATCTCAGAGTCCCCAGAGTGTCTCTGTGCATTGTGCCCTAGACTTTACTTGCTTTCGGGAGTCTGGTGGGACCAAGTGAGCATACCCAATCTTAACTGGACTTGGATTCCACTTTGTTTTTTAAGCTGCTTTATCCCATCTGGTTTCTCAGAGCTGAATGATATAGACAGTTCCATATTGGTGAACATGGTGCTGGCTCTGGAAACCAGCCAATTATGCCCGAAAATAGGGAGTCCACCATTTTTAGAAACTAGGGTGAGCTTACAAGGCCTGTGTAAATGAACATCAATGCTGCCAAGAGCTAAGAACTGTCATTGGTTTACTGTGGAGACCACCATCTATTCCAAGGGGCTGTGATCCATCAGGCCTTTCACAGGGTAGGACCCTCTGACCCTTCAGCTGTGAGTGGTGACAGTGGGATTTACAGTAGGTGTGAGACAGGCTTGCACACATTTCCCTTTGACACTGGGTGACGAAAACATATAACTATATCCCCACGCAGCCTGATTGCTCAATATTCATGTGCTATATCAACTTGGGTTCTAATAAAAGGTATAGGTGATGAAGTACAGAGACTGTAGAGCACCTCTCCCTGCCCATCTCTGCAGGGAACAGAGGCAATGCAAGTTTGTGTCTCCCAAGGGCATACTTCTGCCCGGTTTGGAAATCTTGGTCCAAAAGAAAAAAAAAATCAGCAAGCAGGAGGCACTGAGTTGTTAAAAAGAAAAGGGGGTCCCAGAACCAAACAGAACAAGAGTTGCATCCTCTTCCTGGCTGTAGACCTTCCTCACTTCTGAGCCTTGGTCTCGCTACAATAGGGGTAATGCTGTGGATCTTGTTGTTGAGGATTAGAAACAATATGTGTAGCAATTTTTAATAACTAACATTAATCAAGCTATTACTATGCACCAGGCACTGTTATAAGTGCTTTATAGTAGATAATTTACGCTCCCTCAGAGCTCTGTAAGGGCGTCTGTTTTCACAAATAAGAAAACACAAGCACAGAGAATTTAAGAAGATTGTGAGTAGAGTAGAGTTGGACTTCTAAGTCAAGCATGCAGAAGACAGAATCCCCATCATATCATATTGACATTCTGCTTCCCTGCACTATGGCAGTCACGGCCATTTATCAAGTTTCTGTGCAGAGGAGTTGAAGTCCAGTGTGAAGGATGTGAGAGGAGGAGAGAAGGGGCAGGAGATGGAAAAGGCAGCATTCTCCATGAGCTTTGCCAGCACCCTTCATTCCCCTGTGTGCTCATGATGGGGAGCTGTGGTGCTGCTGGGCCCAGCAATAGCACACCCTGATACCCCTGGGCTGAGCAACAGGCTTTTCCGCATGGCTACTGTTGCACTATAGCCAAGGCCTCACTAGTTCCTCTGGGTCCATGAGGAGAAGAGGGATGGGAGCAGTCGGTCTTAGTACCCACCTTATTCTCTAAGATCCAGGCTTATGTTGGCTTGAAAACTCAGTCCCTCCCCAAGAGCCTGTATGATAACTTAAGGAAATCCTAGCTTTAAGCAGGGGTCTAGGAAGGGACAGATATCCAGGAACACACACACACACATGGCCCTGGGTGGGGGGTACGTGACAGTCTGGGACAGTGGAGAGGATTTATAAATCAGGGCATGGCACAGCTAGAGGGACATTTAGTGTCCTTCAGGCTGACCCTACACCTCCTATTTTAACATCCAAGAAAATCAAAGTCTGAAGAAGGCACACAGTTTGCTGACAATCTATGGCTGGGCTGGGTCCACTTTGCCCTGACTTCTCTCCGCAATCCTCTTTCTTGCTTTTTAAACCACTGAGAGCAAAGCATCATGACGTGGGGGAGCCCAGTGCCCTCTGGCATCTCCTAACCAGATGTTTTCTTATCTTTCAGCAGTTTTTCATGATTTTTCCTCACACTGGTCACTATCCAATCAGAACAACCAACTTCTAACACTCCCTTACTAAAAGAACATGGCTAAGAGTGAGAAAGGCCCCAAGGGCAAGATCACCCTCAAGGTGGCCAAGAATTGCATCAAAATCACTTCTGATGGGAAAAAGCGCCTTGACTTGAGCAAGATGGGAATTACCACCTTCCCCAAGTGTATTCTGCGCCTCAATGACGTGGACGAGCTGGACCTTAGCCGGAATCTGATCAGGAAGATCCCTGACTCCATCTCCAAGTTCCAGAACCTCCGGTGGCTGGACCTGCACAGCAACTATATAGACAAGCTGCCTGAGTCCATTGGCCAGATGACCAGCCTGCTCTACCTCAACGTCAGCAACAACCAGCTGACCAGCAACGGGCTGCCCGTGGAGCTGAAGCAACTAAAGAACATCCGCACTGTGAACCTAGGCTTGAACCACCTGGACAGTGTGCCCACCACGCTGGGGGCCCTGAAGGAGCTCCATGAGGTAGGGCTCCATGATAACCTACTGAAAAACATCCCCGTAAGCATCTCTAAGCTCCCCAAGCTGAAAAAGCTCAACATAAAGCGGAACCCCTTTCCAAAGCCAGACGAGTCGGAAACGTTCATAGACTCCATCAGGAGGCCGGAGAACTTGTATGTGGTGGAGGAGAAGGATCTGTGTGCGGCTTGCCTGAGAAAATGCCAAAACGCCCGGGACAAGCTGAATAGAATCAAGAACATGGCCATGACGACACCGAGAAAGACTATCTTTCCCAATCTGATCTCACCCAATTCTATGGCCAAGGACTCCTGAGAAGACTGGAAGTGACTTGGACCCTGACCCTGAGGCAGAAGGGAAAGAGAGAGGGAGGGAAGAGGGCAGTGGGCTGCATCCACAGGAAACCAAGGGCTCTCCTGTGGCTGCAGCAGCTCTTTCAGCCAAGCCCATAAAACTCCTTTCTTTACTTCCTCAGCACGTGATTGTATTGATTGAAGGGCTTTTGGTTCCTTACCATTCCACACATTTCTTCCTCCTCTGCACACACACTCACAAGTACAGGCACAGTGAGTCAGGAAGGGGCTGTCCATGTCCATCCTACTCTTACCCCCAGATCTCTCTTGTTTACCGCTGTGGCCTAGGCAGTTAATGCCCCCACACACTCACTATCGCTGGCATTTCAGAACCCACCACCAGCTCCCAAATGTGAAGTTTATTCAGTGGAAATGTTTTGGGTCTGGGCTTCAAAGCCAAGGAATCTCAGAGTATGAGTTTGTAAGAAAGTAGATGAGCACTTCGTGTTGGGTAGGGGACAGAGGTGGGCCACAGAAACGGGCAGGTTTTATTATTAAGGCATCAATAGGCAGATAGCTTCCTGGGCCCAAAGCAATGTTTTCTCTCTGAACTGAGCTTGCACAACTTGCTCTAGGAGCTTTCTTGGCTAAATCTGCAGACCTCTGACTGGCTGTGAATGAATGAAGTTATACTACCATCCTATTACATTCAGTGTTCTTTCAGACCCTCATGGGAGGAAGGAAAGAATGGTGGCAAGTATGGATTGGTGCATTCAATAAATCAACACCTTACTCCGCACTGTGCTAGGTGCAGGGGCCGTGTCCCTTTGGAGAAAGCTTGGCTTGCCTGGTGCAAGCTGGTGGAGAGAGTAACTGAAATGAGATGGGGCAGAGCACCATTGTCTGAGGCATTCAGGAGATCCCAGTCGTGGATGTGCAGGGCTGGCTTGGCAGAGAGAAAAGGCAAAGATTCTGAGGTTGGACAGATCTAGGTCCATGGCAACTCTGCTTCTGACTTGGCATCCCCTTGGGCACCTAATATAGCTTTGGTTCCCTCACTCGTGAAGTGGAAATAATGCTATACCTAACTCCAAGGGTTCTGTGCCTCTAAAACAGGCAGCACATGGAGAACATACTCAGCAGAAGCCAGTTCTCTTCTAGAACCATAACTTGGTTCATTGCAAAGCTGAAATACTACTTTGAACAGTGGTGCCAGTTGTGCTATATCTTTTGGTAGAAAATGACAGCAACCAAGTCAATCCTCACAATAGCTGAGAACCTTCTCTGGCCTCACTGTGTACCACACTCTCACACCTTCATGTGCATAAAAGAAATGAATCAAGAATGATACCTTGAGGGAGGCTTTTCTCCCCCAGGACTTTCCTATGTTGGTGGCAAGTTTGCTGACTGGATGATGAGAAGCACCAAGAGGCATCCATCAGTGAAGTGGTATTAACTTCTTTCCTCCTCACATTGTCAACCACAGCACACGGCACACTTCATTTCTTCACACCTTGCTGCTTATTTCCTCTTGTAATGCTTAGCTACGACAACCCTATCATTTTCTAAAACCTTGGGAGGGCTAGATTCAAAATTTTCATTTTAGTTTTTCCCTTTATTAAATGTTTTTCATTGTAGAAGTAACAGAACCACAACATACTACTAAATATAGTAGCTTAAAGCATCCATCATTCCACAGTATAAGTCAGCTGCAATGCTGGTAGAGTTCCTTACTAGTTATTTTTCTGTATATATTTTTATACATAGTTAAAATTATAGCATTCCTGTCATTTCTGTCCCGCTTTGAAACCCATGCTGTCACCTGGTATTAATAACCACACTTTAAAACGTCTGCAAGATAGTTATTCTTGTAGATATACATAACTATAAGTTACTGTTGTACCTTTATTTTCAGGTTTCACTGATGGGAATAGTCTTGTGATGAGAGCCTATATAACTAAAACATTTTAAAATATTTTTAATTATTTCCTTGGCATAGCCTCATTATTGGAAATATTGTGTTAAAGGGTGTGTTTTAACAATAATGTTGCTACTTGCCATCAAGTAGCTCGTAAAAGGTTTACACACATTTATATGCCTACCAGTAATGTAGTAAAGAACCCATTTCACAGCATCCTTGTCCGCACTGAGCCCTGTCCTTCACATTTTTCTCTTCACCTAATGTCCGAAATGACTCATGAGAACCCCTTCTGAAGCTGAGGGGAGCAACCGTGTCTGAGACATGTGTGATGAGACACCATGCTGTAGGTATAGGAGCCACCACTAGCCTGCCAGGTCTTGGACATGTCCACAAGGGAGGCAATCTGCTATTTCAGTCACTTCATCTCTGACCCAAAAGGTATAGAGTCCATGCAGAGACGTATGATCGAGACAGAGTGCTGGATAGCTACATGAAGACTTTCCATTTCAGTTTCTCCCCCTTCAGACACTTTTTCTTTAGAATTAATTTTCCCTTCTTAGGTATTCAAAAGGTTCAGCAAAGGAGAGAAGTTAAGAGAAACATCAAGGTTACAGATCCCACCTGGTGCCTTAGGGTTTGCCCGTCCACATCCTCCGTTCCCCACTGCAGCACTCTCCTTGCCATGCTTGGTCCTCAACACCCTTACTTGCTGCCAACTGCTTGGCTGGCCTGACACTCACTCCAGCCTTGCTCTGGGGCTTTATCATGCTTTCCCTCTTATCACACATCTCAGGAAGGAGTTTCAGGTGCATTTAACTTTACCAGGATTGAGACATACCCAGGCAGTGGGCTGGGTTTGCCTCAATGTGTTCAAGTGAGACACCTCTTTAGCCAAGAAATGCTGGCAGCAGGACAAAGCAGACTGGAGATAGAGACCAGTTAGGAGGCATCTTCTGCATCCTATTTCTTTTTCTGCCAAGGAAAAGGTTTGATGTTGGTGTTCCTTCGTGCTCTAAAATACCTCAGTCACCTTTACTTCTTATAAATTGAATTAAGCATAAAGATACTTCATAGGAAAGCCTTGGGGGTTCTCTTTCCTCAAATGCAAAAACAAACAAACAAACAAACAAACAAAAAAACACCCTATTCACACTAACCTGACCATCCTGACCTTGGTGAGCTGGTGTGACCTCTGCTTTTGCTGTGTTTGCCTCTGTGGTCTGGAGCAATTGCCTCACCCTCTTTTGTCTCCATCCCCAGAATACTCTCAACATCTTCCTAAAGTAGCTGTGGCAAAAACTTGAAGACTACTCAGCTAACAGAATAAATGACTCTGAAGAGAAGAAGCCCCCAGTTAGGAGAAGACAGAGTGGCAAGTGAGATGTTCTGGAAACCAGGCTCGCTGGAGCTAGCCAAGTATCCGACTTGCTTCTCAAATTCACTTCACCTCCCTTAGCTTTAGCTCATTTGCATGTGAAAATGACTTTGGGAAATATTTGATGTGGTTTTAAAAATGTATATAGAGGAAAAAATTTAAGAAAATTACAGATTATATATTATAGACAACTAAATATTTAAGACTTTAAGACTTAAAAGGCTTACTGCCTCTACATTTCACTCAGACTAGTACATCTCAATGCCAGTAGACTGTGATGTTTGTGTAGGTATGACATACTGACATGGTTTGCACATTTGTCCCCTCCAAACCTCATGTTGAGATTTGATCCCCAGTGTTGCAGGTGCAGCCTAATGGAAGGTCATGGGGGTGGATCCCTCATGAATGGCCTGGTGCCATCCTCTTGGTAATGAGTGAGTTCTCACTGTATTAGATCCTGTTGAAAATTGATTGTTAAAAAGAGCTTGGCACATCCCTCTTCTCTCTCTCTCTCTTCCTCTCACCAAGTGATGCCTGCTCCCCTTTGCCTTCCACCATACCTATACCCTAAAGCCCTCACCAGGAGGCGCTGGCACCTGTACAGCTTGCAAGAACCATGACCCAAATAAATTTCTTTTCTTTATAAATAGCCTTAAATATTCCTTTATAGCAATGCTAAGACACCTCAAGCAACTCCAATTTATACAAAAAGTTATATAGAAAAATATTCTAAAAAATACTATAGATAAGGTAGAATTTTAACAAATCTTTTAGTGGTGCATAGGTAGGCAGGAAAAAGAAAACAGAGAAATGAACAGGAAAAAACAAAAAATAAAAATAAAATGGCAGACTTGTATTCTAACATTTTGATAATTACAATAAATGTAAATGATCTGCTTTATTTGTAATGACCACAAAATAGAAACAACCAAATGTTGCTCAATGCACAAATTGTTAAACAAACTCTGGTATATTTCTCTCATGCAATACTACTCAGCAATAAAGAGGAACAGACCATTGATACATGCAACAACTTGAATGTATCTCAATGGCACTATTTTCAGCTAAAACAAAAATGCCCATCTCCAAAAGTCACATACTCTATGATTCCATGTATAGAACAGTCTCTAAATGAAAAAGTAATAGATATGAAAAACAGATTCATGATTCCCAGGATTTAAGGATGGTGGGGGAAGACAGGGAGGTAGGCATAACTATAAAGTGGTCGCACAGAGATATCTTTGTGGTGATAAAATAACTGTGTATGTCGGCTGGGGGCGGTGGCTCAAGTCTGTAATCCCAGCACTTTGGGAGGCCGAGACGGGCGGATCACAAGGTCAAGAGATCGAGACCATCCTGGCTAACACGGTGAAACCCTCTCTCTACTAAAAAATACAAAAACTAGCCGGGCGAGGTGGCGGGCGCCTGTAGTCCCAGCTACTTGGGAGGCTGAGGCAGGAGAATGGCGTAAACTCGGGAGGTGGAGCTTGCAGTGAGCTGAGATCCGGCCACTGCAGTCCAGCCTGGGTGACAGTGCGAGACTCCGTCTCAAAAAAAAAAAAAAAAAAAAAAAAAAAACAACTGTGTATGTCGATTGTGCAGGTGGTTACCCAAATCTATATATGATACAATGACAAAGAACTATGCATACACATGTACCAGTGTCAATGTCCTGGTTCTGAAATTGTGCTATAGTTATATAAAATGTAACCACGGTGGGGGGGATATTAAGTGAAAGGTGCACAGAGTCTCTCTGTACTATTTTTGCAGCTGTGAATCAATATTTTGAAATAAAAACAAAAAACAAAAATCTTACAGCCTAGATGCAACAATCAATAGATCCTTATACGTCTGCCCAGTGCTGATTTATGAGGCATTATGGCAAGCTTAAAGTGAGAATCTAAAACACCGAGTCAGCCTAGAGATGCAATTGAGGCACACAGTAAGGCAATTCAGGCACCTTAACCTCGGCTCAGCCAGCTAATCTAAAATTACCCACTGTTGATCTTATTCTTGCAGATTCCTGAAAAAGTTGCTAAAATAAATAGAAACTGCATGAATTCTCTATGCCCCAGGTTTTCTGGAGGTAGCTGGGCACAGGTGGCAACTAGGATGGGAGAAACCTTGAACCAGTGGGTTGCTCATCGCTATTCCTGGGCACACCTGTTCACCACCCCTGGTGGTGTGGGAGTATAAGGTTGTGGAAGCAATGTGGCTGGGTAGAGTTGGAAGGAAAAAGGGCAGGCTTGCTGCAGTGACTGGGGCTTGCATCAGGCTTTTGCCCTGGGAAGGATCTGAGGTTATGGCTAAGGATACAGCAGAGACGAGGCATGAACTGAGTGCAGCCAGACAAAGATGAACATGGAATGCGGTCAGGGCCAATGTCTGAGCATGACCTAGGCAGAATGGCCGGGGCTCGGATGCTCATGGCCCACGAAGCCAACCATGTGAACAAGCTCCTAGACGCTGCAGCACTGGCTGTCACTCTCATTTTGAATCTGCAGCCAGGTACCATTCGCCTCTGGTCCCAGTGATTCCGGTATAGACACAGGGTATGAGTAGCTTGGTCTCCACAGTTGGCTTCCAGGGCTTCAGTTCGGCAAGAAACCCAAGGACATGCTTCTCTACTCCATGGTGGAGCCAGCACTACCTTTACCAGTTAAGCAATTGTGTATCTTACAGATCTGTAGCCAACAGCATGAATCTCTAGGGGGCAGGATTGAAGGAAGAGAAATGCTAGGAAGGGGAACTTGAACTTTAGCCTCCCCCCAGCTAACTGTGGTTCCTCTGGGGTGTGGTTAATTTTTCATGGAAGCTCATATTCTCATGGGAATTGCATAGGTTCTTATGGTTGTTTTTCTAAATTATTTGTCTTTCGTTATTTTTCAGAGAGAATCT